AGATTTTTTTTTCTCTTAAGATGGTCTGGATTTCTATTATTCTTCAAAACAGCATGCTCAAAAGATGGTAGAATTTCTTCATTGTACAGTTCCTTGTAGGTATGTTCTGAACGTAAGTGTGATTCAAGTCCAAAGAGCTGGAATTAGGTGTATTCCACATCTACCCTCCACATCTAAGCCAAAACAACTTCTCTTACATTAAAATATTTTAAATTATAACAAGAATTTTTTTTTTAAGATGTACTTATTTATGCATACGAACCGAGGTACGGGCCAGAGGTACAGGGGCAGTGAGAGGATTCACCAGAGTCAGAGTGGGGAGCAGAACAGGCAGATTGAGGAAGCACACTGCTGAGGGGAGCAGCCAACAAGACTGGAGAAGTCTGCTGTGCCATATGGATTACCTCCTGCTGGGGATCGAATTTGCACTGAAGTGGCTGTGGCTAGCTTGCAGTGCTGTGCTTTAACCCACTGTGCCACCAGTGAGGGCCAGGGATGCTACTATTTATAAGCATTTGTTGGATTGACCACCTTAAATGGACCTCATTCTGTGATAATAAGATACTGTAATGATAAACAAATCCAATATATTTAAGAGAAATAAAAGATGGCAGTAGAGGACTTTAGATAAAAACTATATCAAAGAGGTAGTACTTAAGCTCCTAAAGTGAAAAATTTTCAAAGGGATATATGAAAGGTGAGGAGATTTATCTTATTACATTGTTGCATATCCTTTTACCTTTTTGGCAGTGGGGCAGTAATGCAGGTTAATGGATGCTGTATGCAGATTAGAGTGGCCTGAGCCAAGGACATATTTTGGAGTTATTTAATAAATTTGAAATTAGGTACAGTCAGTTTTATGAAGGTTTTGAAATGCAAGTGGATAAAATTAAGCTTCACCATAATGGGTATCATGTATTTGTTTCAGGCCTTTGATAGTGATGATTTGATTTGATGAAAATTATTATTTCTGAACTGCAAGTAAGGATATTTAATCTTTCTCTTAATAGATGGAAAGCATCACAGAGACTGATCTCTCAGGATATCCATAGTAACACATACAATTACAAAAGCACTTTTTCTGTGGAAATTGTTCCAATATGCAAGGTACTTTTTCTCATTTAATTCATGTCTGTAAAAATAGAGTACAGGTAAATTAATTGGTTTATATTTAGAAGTAATTATATGCTCTCAATTTCTTTTTGAAGGGTGGCTAAAAATTTAGAAAAACTTCATCATTAAATAATTTGTGACATTGATCTGTGTTAAAAAGTAATCATATTTATATACATTGGCATACCTTTCATTTGATTTGTTACTGAAAAGTCTCAGCACTTTTT